GCCAGTGAGCGGCCGGTCTGTATGTGGGATCCGAACCCTCGGCGGGAGCACCGCCACGCTCTCAAGCGACTGGGCCGGCCCTCATTGTGGTTTTAATTTGTATTTTCCTAATGTCTAATGATATTGAGCACCTTTTCATGTGCCTATTTTCCATCCACATTATCTTATTTGGTAGAGAGGCTGTTCAAGTCTTTTGACCGTTTTAGAAAATTGGGTCTTTTGGTGGGAGGGGGGAGAGGGAGGAGGGAGGGGGGTTTCAGTAATGGGCCACAATAATCAACCTCATTGTATATCGATAAAACTAAATTAAGAAAGAAAAAAAAAACAGAAAGAAAATTGGGTCTTTTTTTTTTTAAAACATTGAACTTTGTGAGATCTTTATGGAGCCTGGATGTAAGTTTTTGCACCTTCCTGCTCCCTCTGGTGTGAGGGGGTTTCAGTTGTAGGGAACTTTGACACGGAGACAGGTCTTTCTTCCACCTGCCCTCTGATCAGCTGGGCTTGCTGTTCTTTTGAGTTCAAGGTGCCTGTCTGCCTCATTTCTCTCTTTTCTACTTGGCTCTGGTCCTTGGCTATTTGGGCATGGGAGGGGTAGGGGAAGAGGTGCTGCTGTCTTTTGACGTTTTCAACTTCCAGATGCCTCAAAAGCTGCAGAAAATGGCAGCCCATTTCCCCCAGAAAAATATACACCAGACACAACCTCATGCATGTTTTCAGGATGTTTCCATTCCCCCCCTCCAGCTAGTTCTACTTTGCCTGCTTGTTTAGGATTAGAAGTACCGCAGCTGCAGGCCTCTGTGCCTAGCTGTGTTTTTCTTTGGACTGAATTTTGGGAGTGTCTTCCTGGGGCGAGGGCGAGCATGGTTTGAGGGCCCTAGAGTAGGGAGGAGCCTGCCTGTCTCCCCACAGCTTCCCACATCCAGTCATTTGTGTAGTTAACAGCTTTGTTGAGATACAATTCACATACCATAAGGTTCACTCTTTTAGAGTGTACAGTCCATTGGTCTTTAGATAATTCACAAGGTTGTACAATTTTATTTTATTTTTAAATTTTTATTTATTCATTTTTTTTAAAGGATGACCGGGAAGGGGATCTTAACCTTTGACTTGGTGTTGTCAGCACCACACTCTCCCAAGTGAGCCACGGGCCGGACCAAGATTGTACAATTTTAATTCCAGAACATTCTTATCACTCCCCAAGTCCCATTCCCCCTCCCCCAGCCCCTGACCCCTCCGCCCCAGTCTGCTTTCTGCCTCTGTAGATTTGCCTATTCTGGATATTTCATATAAATGGCAGCACACAGTGTGTGACCTCTGTGACTGGCTTCTTTCACTCAGTGTGTTTTCAAGATCTATCCATGTTTTGGTATGTGTCAGTAGGTACTTCACTCCTTTTTGCAGTCAATAATCTTCCATTGTATTTGAACACATTTTGTTTGTTTACCCTTCAGTGATGGACACTTGGATTATTTCCACCTTATGAATACAATGCTGCTATGAACATTTCTAGACATCTAGCTTTATCATTTAAAGTGGTTTTTGGTTAACTTAGTAGGTGGGATGTTGCACCTCATGGTTGTTTAACTGTGAAATTGTTTGTGCACGAGGCTGAACTGTCTGACAGTAAGCACTTACCCTTTGTGGGACGGTCTGTTAATGACTTGAGCCAGTGTTGCTATGGAGGCCTGGTATGGTCCCCATTGATTTGGGGTGGGGGGTGTGCCCAGCTCACCGGGGGCTGGGACCAAGCAGAAGGAGAAGCCAGGGTTGCTTAGGGAGCTGGCAATGCCTGCCTGGAAGGATGGGGCCAAGTCCAAAGGGCACAGCAGAGGGGTGAGCTCATTCCCTGACTTCCATTTGGCTGCAGCTTTGGGAGGGAGCTGGTGGAAACCGGGGGAGACCATGCTCATGCTTCAGCGAGACTTGTCCCTAAGAGTCCTCAGAAAGGGAGTCGTCAGGGCCTGTCTTAGGGAGAAGCCCAAGTGGTGAGTTGGGAGCTGAGAACTATGGGATTGTCGGGGGTCAGGAGAGGTGTGTTTGGGGAGGACCTGGTCTTGTGTACCGGGGTGGCAGGAGCTGTGGCTTCTGACACTCGGTTCTGGGATGCTCCCAAGGCTGGAAAGGGTGCCCTGTGCCTTGGTGGCCGTTTTTTTCTCTGACTTGAAGGTGAGAGATGGACTTGACAGGACCCAGCATGTGGCCCTGAGGGCCTTGAGGGAGGGGGCTCCCAGAGTCCACTGCAGTGGCCTCTGGTCCTGAGTGGCCTGTGGAAGTGATGCTTTTGACCTCTTGGTCCAGGGGAGGGGAGTGGGTGGGATGGTGCCTGAGCCTTTTTTGCTGGCCAGGTGCAGAAGGCCCCGAGCACTGGGCTGACCTGGAGGGACCCCTTCGAAGCTGGAACACATGGCGTGGAGAGGCCAAGAGGAGTGCAGTGGGCCGGGCAGAGGGCCTCTGCCCACCCCAATTTGATGTGCGTTCATGGTGCTTTACTGTGTATCTGGCTCAGGTGCCGGCACAGCATGAGCAGGACGGCGCAGGCCCTGCCCTCCTGGTGTTCCTGGCACAGGGAGTCATTTCCACTCATGATAAAGGGCAGCAAGGAGCTAAGGAGCCTTACCCTGCTGGGCAGGGACCCCGTCAGCCTGCGTGGTTGGAGAAGGCTCTTCGAAGGGACATGTTCAGCCCAAGGGTTTAGCTGCCAGGCAGCATGGGCTCGGGCCAGTCTCAGCCCAACTCGCCTCCAGGGGGATGTTTTGGGTGTGGTTGGCAGGACCCCTTGAGGATCCCCTCCCCTTCCCGCTCCCAGGCGTTCAGCATCCCCGAGCTGGTGGAGCCGGGCAGACTTGCCACTTCCCACCGGACCAGGCAGGGCCAGTGGGGGCCAGCTTGGTGCTTCTGCTCGTCAGTCTGGGTTTTTCTCTTTCTGAATATAGGCGAGAGGTTTTGTGGGCAGTGGCACTTGTACTCTGAACTTACCTATGCCACTTTTACCAGCATGGCCCCCACATCAGGAAGTCCTCCGGGACTGGTGACTGTGCAGAGGAAGTGGAGGCGCTTGGTGATAGATAAGGGGTGTCTGGGCAGGGGTGGCTGTGTACTGCAGCTGAGTCAGCCCTCTCTGTCCTTAACTTTTCATTTGACAACAAAGGTGTGAAACTTGCCTCAGAGGCCCCGGAGTGGCCTGCAGGTGGGTTCCTGGTCATTCCGGCCACACCTTGCCTGACTGGGTCTGTTTGGAGCTGGTGCTGGCATGTGCCCTTGCTGGGGTGTTTCCATTTCAGCTACTGAGGGCAGGAAAGCTGGGAAAGCAGCCTTGCAGGTGGCCTGGGTGAGGTCATTGGGTGAACTTGTGGTGATAGCACATCTGCCTCCCCTCCCAGGGCCTGGCCATTGAGCGACTTCTTTCTTCCTAATGCCCAGTGGGAGGGGAGGTTGAGAGAGGAAGGGCCACGTGCAGACCGGGGGAGCTGCGGGCTCTTGGGGCGGCCAGCAGCCCAAGAACCTGAGGGGTAGAGGAAGGGCCGTGAACTGCTGAGCCTTGAAACAGGCACAGCGTCCTCTGAAGCCAGCGCTGGTGGTGCTGGTGGTGGCAGTGGAGGCTGGCCCGAAGAGCACAGAGGCTGGACTTCCTGCCCACTCCCCTTTCAGAGGCCAGGCCCTGGGACACTCAGGGAGGTGACTTTTGGGACAGGTTTTAGATGCCAGCTCCATTTTCAGCATTCAGGCTTAGATCTGGGGGGCTTCTCGCTGGCCTGGGTTTCCAGGAGCTCTAGAAGGTGACAACCAGCAGCAGGCCTGGGCCTCGGAGAAAGCCTTGGGGGACAGAGGTTGGGGGTGCAGTCTGCGCTGTCGGGGGGTAGGGCAGAGCCTCCCAGATGTTTTCCTGGAGGCTGCTCGGCCTCCCTCTGCCTCCCTCATCTCCTCGCACGGCAGCCGGAAGTGCTGGCAGAATTGCTTCTAATGTAATTATTTATAAAACGAGGTTTCTATGACGACTGGCTTTTGGTGGACTCTTCGGATTGGCGAGGCCGTCTCTTCCTGGTTAGACTGGGCAGCCCAGGAAGCCAGGGTGGGCACTCCCGGCCTGGTGGGGAGCTGGGGCTGTCCCCGGCCAGGCCGTGACTCTGGGCCCGCTGGCTGCTGCTATTTTACCCGCCCCACCCCTGCCTCGCTCTGGACCTGGTCCTGGGACATCCCAGCCACCATGGCTTCCCAGCTGAGCAGGTACCTCTGGTCACAGCCCCTGCTGCTGCAGGAAGACTGTCTGCCTGGGGGGCGCTTGCAGGGGAGGGCGGGAAGAGGGGCTGCGGCCCCGGGGCCCGCAGGCAGAGGCTTTGTGCGGCGGGAAGACCAGCAGGGCGCCCAGCTCCTCCTGAGCCGGACGTGAGGTGCTGAGCAGCCGCCGACAGGAAGTCCAGGCCCGGGGACCTGGTGGGCTGCGGCAGGACCAGAGCGCTCCCTCCCGCCGCTCTGGCCCGGGATGGAGCAGCAGCTTCTTTGGCTTCTTCCCTGGAGAGCTCTGCGTCCTTGGTCAGCGGGTGCTGGACCGTGGCTGCAGCTGGAGCCTTCTGGTCCCTCTGCTGTCCCAGCAGGGGCCAGCTGTCGGCCCCTCCCTTGTCCCGCTCTGGTGCCTGGAAGTGCCCCCAGATTTCTTCTTGGCCCAGCCATTTCTCCCATCCCTGCCCACTTCGGGTGATGGAGTGGGGCCTCTGGGGGTTGAAGGAACTTTGCCAGAATCTTCTTAGGCAGCAGATGGAAGAGGATGGGCAGTTTGGCAAACTTCCCCATGGAGAGATGAGGGCTCGTGTCTGCCTGACCCTGGCCTTTGAGGCCCATGGCTGGCCGCATGCCTACTTTGTCTCTCGAAGCTGCCTGGTGTGAGGCCCCCACCCTCACCCCACAGCGAGCCCTGCAGCTCCTTTCCCTCCAAGAATGGCAACCCCTGCCCCTCGGATACTCCCGGCCGAGGCAGCTGCTCCCTCTGCACGGTCCTGAAGGAAGCTCGAGTGTCTGCAGGCCCCAGGTGGCTCCGTGAGAGAGGGACAGTCTGTCCGACAGCCCAGTCCCAACTGTGTCCCCAGGTGAGAAGGCACATGCACCTTGGGCTTGCCCTCCGGACACCTGCCTTGGCCTCTCTCTGGTTTGAGGCCAGAAGGAATAGGCCCTGGGAGCATCCAGAACCCCCTGCAAGGTGACATTAGAGCTGGCTGCCTGCGAGGCCATCGTGGGCTGGGCCCGCCTGAGCCCCAGCGGAGGCTCAGTGGTTCTGTCTTCAGGTGCAGCTGCAGACCCCAAGAGGACTTTATCCTGGCTGTGCTTGGTGCTGCCACCTTCCACCTCAGAGAGTTGTTTTAGCTTTTGCTATTGAATAAAGGAGGCAAGGCCCAGCTCACTCTAGTTACCGATGGTTTCACGAAACAGAGTTTTAATTTTAGCATTGACATTTTTGTGTCAGCATCAGGGATACTGGCAGCACTTCCAGCTGGGGCTGTGGAGGGGGGGCAGGCAGGGGTCAGCCCCTCTGTGGAGCTGCTGCCAGGGTCGCTGGCCAGGCCTGGGGCAATGGGAGCTGAGCCAGGCTTAGGCTGCTGCTGGCCCTGCAGGGCTTACCTGGGCCACCCAGTGCTGCCTCCTGCGGGTAGAACAAAGACCTCTGGGGCAGAGGGCTTGTAGGGGTCACAGTCTGCAGAGTTTCCTGGGGCTGCCGTGACAAATGAGCACAAACTAGGTGGCTTAAAGCAACAGGAGTTTATTCTCTCACAGTCACGGGGCTAGAAGCCTGAAGTCAGGGTGTCAGCAGGGCTGTGCTCCCTCTGACGGCTCTGGGGGAGGATTCTTTCTGTCTCTTCCAGCTTCCAGTGGCCCCAGCAATCCCCGGTGTTCCTGGGCTTGTGGCTGTATGACTCCAGCCTCTGCCTCACATGTCATCACATGGCCTGTCCCCCTCTGTGTCTGTGTGTCTCCTGTCAACATTTCCTGTTCTTATAAGGACAATTATTGGATTAGGGCCAACCTAATTCAATATGGCTGCATCTTAACTTGATCACACCTGCAAAGACCCTATTTCCAAATATGGTCACATTCAGGGTACCAGGGTTAGGACTGAAACATTTCTTTTTGGAGGACACAGTTCAACCCAGTACATAGGCTCTGTGCAGGGCTTAGGCTGGGCTGGACCTTGGGAGGATCTCGAGGAGTGGGGACACGGCCAGCCCTTGGGGTGTCTGCTGTGAGGCTGGGAGCACAAGCGGCTCCTCTGGCCTTCTGGGCCCTCCTTGCTGGTTCCGGCATCCACCCTACCTCACTCTTCCTGCGCTCCAGAACAGGCATGGTGCTGCCCTGCAGGAGGGTGGGCAGGGTCCTGAGAGCCACTGCTGCAGGGCAGCCTGGGGACGAGTGATGTCTTGTCCACTGGTGTGAGCAGGAGATCGCGGAGGGCCCCGGGAGGATGTGACTTTTGCGCTGGGCCTTGAAGAGTCTTTAAAGATCACTGATTTACTTGCACAGGTTGTGATGGTTTAAAATCCACAAGGCACTGAGCTCACGCGGTCTCCAGTCCCCTTCCCCAGGGGTAGTGGGAGCTTCCAGTTTCCTAGGCCAACTTCCAACAGTGGTCCGCACTGCGCCCAGGCCTGGTCCCCTGGTCCCCGTTGTTCTGCATCTTGCTGTTTTTCACTGTATCCCTGGGAATGTTCCTACTCTGTTGTGTGGCTGTAACTTAATTTCAATAGTCCCTTATCGGCAGACGTTTAGGAGCTGGGCAGTCTTCCGCATCATAAACAGCTTTGCAGTGAGTAACTTTGAGCTTGGTGTAATTGTGTGTGAAAATATCTGTAGGATAAATTCCTGTGAGTGGAACTGCTGGGTCAGGGCACACGGTGCATTTGGGATTTTGATGGGTTGTGCTGATCGCCATCTGGGAGGTCGTATTGATTTATGCTCCCCCATTTATAGATGGTCCCCTGTCCTTCACAAGGGATGGGTGAGGTGTTGCTGGGACAGATGGGCCCGGCAGGGCAGTGGGAAGCACCAGGTATACCTGGTGAACAGCAGTGGTTCAGCAAGTATAGCTTGGAGCCCTGCAGGACAGTAGGAGAGGAGGTGAGGAACGTTCTGGATCCCTGGGGACTTCAAATGCCTTACTAGGGTGTTGAGTCTTTATTCTGTAGGTAGAAAAGGCCCTTGAGGGTGATCTGGCCAGATTCCTACTTAGGAAGAGTTACTCTTGGGGCATTGGGGTTAGCGGTGAGTTAGGACCTGAGCCGAGACTTGGGAGGCGAGAGGCAAGCGTGGAAGCCGAGAGAGGCAAGCGTGCAAGCCTGCTCTCCACCCCCAAGCGAGGGTGATCTCCACACAGCTGTGCGACTGTGGGAGTCCCTTGCTTCAGTGTGTCCCTCAGCACCCACTCCTTCCAGGATGGAATCCAGACTGTGACTCCATCCTCCGGCCCCTCTTTTTCTCTTCCCCTCATGGGCCACGTGCCAGTGTGGTGGGCTTGCCTTCTGTTTCTGGAATTCACCAAGCACTCCTGGCCTCGGTCCTCCCCTGAGATGCCCCTTGCCCTTGGAACATTTCCCTGACCTCTGCCCTGGCTCACCCTCCAGGACTTGGTAAGATGTTACTTCCTCGGGAGTTTCCCTGGAGTCCAAGTGGGAGTGGCGGGTCCTCTTGAGAGTGGCTCCTTGATCCATGTTTACTTGGCTTCCTCAGAGTCCCTGTCATCAGCCTGGTGCCCGCTCCAGAGGGGACATGGGGTGGGTGCCTCGGTTGGCCTCCGTCCCCAGCCCTGGCCCACTCATCCTGTGATGACTAGGACAGGAGCAGCTGGAACAGGAAAAGGGAGGAGCTGTGGGTGTTGGTGACATTCCAGACGTGGAGTTGGCAGCCCTGCTGCTGCCTGGCTGCTAGGGTGGGGCGTGGGGACGTGGTGGCTCAGGGCTCCCCTGGGCTGACCTTTTACCTTTCCCTGGAGTTTCTGGGGTCAGAGGCAGGGAAGAAGCGCAGGCCTGGCGTGGGCGGAGTGGTGGGGACAGCGGCCCCCAGGACGGGTCCGGCCCGAGCTGGCCTGTGTGTGTCGGGACATATTTCAGTCAGACGCAGCGTTCACAGTCAGCTCCGATCTCCAGCTTGTCTTGAAAATCCAGAAAACCCCAGGCCCGCTGTCTCCGTTGCTTCCTGGGCATTGGCATCGTACTTACTCTGCTGCGACTTCTTTTTTTATGTTGAATGGTAAAGAGGCACGTGAGATGCTTTTTGTACCCAGGTCTTTGTTTAAAATGGGGAAAGAAAAGCTCCTGGGAGGGTCGCTTGCCCGCCTGGGGCCAAGGGCATTTTAGGGCCCCGGGGAAAGTGAGTTGAGGAGGAAGGGCCGAGAGGGGACGGGGCAGTGCGAGGGTCCCGGGCTCCGTCCCGCCCAGCAGCCCATCCACGCCAGGCTGGCTGCTCCACTGGCCGCCACCGGCTGCTGGGGGGCGTCTGACCTGGGGGCCGAGGGGAAGGGCCGAGTGAGTTGGAGATGGCAGCAGAGTCCTGGGTCAGGAAGAAGGTCCTTTGGGGAGGGGTTTGTGCCTGGACTGAGCTGAGGCTGTGCTCCCGGGTGGGTGGTCAGTTGGTCTGGGCGGTTGGAGTGGTCCTTGGTGCAGGACTTGGGTGCAGAGGGGAGGTGACCAGGCCGGCCAGCATGCAGTCCGGAGTTCCTGGTGTTCGCTCCCAATGGTCCAGCGTCAAGTGCTGGGGTCCCTGGGGTGGGCAGCTGGCCCTCACTTTAAACACCCTGGTGTTGTGGGGTGGCTCTGCCTCTGCCCCGGGCCCCTGGCCTCCCTCCTCCAAGGCTGTCCCCTATCGTTCCTTCCTGTGCGCCTGCCGGATGTGAGCACTTCCTCCTGTGCCCCGCGGCCCTGCGCTGCGCTTCCTCTCCCGGGCTTGCAGCATCACTGTCAGCCACCCTGGTGCGTGGGGCCAAGCGAGACTCACAGAGAGGGATCAGGCTGCTCCCCAGGCAGGCGCTGGTGTTTCCTCAGTGCTCAGGAACTCAGGGGCTGCTGGGCTCTGCTCTCCCCACCTGGCCACAGCCTTGTCCTGTGCTCCCAGGAGGACAGGCCCACGTGCGGACAGGACCACCTGCCTGCCCATGGCAGCCAGGTGCAGGGAAGGCCCTTTCTGCTAAGTTGAAAATAAGAGCAAAGGAAAGAGGTTGATATAATCATTTTGTGACATAATTGGCTACCTCTTAACTCAAACTCAAAAAGAAGACAAAAACCCTTAATAGTGTAAGCTCAATGTTTTAAAACACTAAGATATTTAAAAATGAACATTGAAGCCTAAATGTTCATAGATGGATGATTGGATAAGGAAACGGTGGTGTATATACACCATGGAATACTAATCTGCCATAAAAAAGAATAAAATTCTCCCATTTGCAACAACATGGATGAGTTTGGAGAAACTTATGTTGAGTGAAATAAGCAAAGCACAGAGGGATAAATACTACATGTGCTCACTTGTAAGTGGGAGCTAAGAGATAAAGAAGAAGGGAAAGAAAGACCACAGTGGTGCGTTGGACTTGCAGAGGGAGAGAACGTATCTTGGGATACAAAATGGATGGAGTGGGGAAAGGAGGATGGGGAGGAAGGTCAGGGTTAATTGGGGGGGTAATTGGGTGGGGCACAAGGGGTGTAATCACAATTTGTGGTAATTGACATGCTGCCAGTATGGATTTGGCCATCGCACCTTAGGCACCAGTGGTGACAATTTGCTTTGTACCCCGTGAATATTCATGATCAATAAAAACAAAACAAAACAAAAAAATGAACGTTGGAGAAACAAATAAGCGTCCTTTGTGCTCTGGGCATTCCCTGCCCAGCCACTGTGCACATTACGGAGCGCTGGCTGCTCCTGGGGTCACCATGTGCTGCCCTGAGCTGCACCACAGCGGCCCTGGTTCTCGTAGCCAGACCTCACCCAGTGTGAAGGGGTGACATTTGGGGCTGGGCGGTAGGTACAAGCAGCTGTCAGTCCCTCGAGGATATCACTTGCTCTAGAAAGTAGCTTCTTTGGTATCTTCTGTGTGCCAGGCACTGCCTCCTAGCAATAGTGTTATCTCCCTCAGTCAAATGAGATGGTACTGTTGTCATGCCCATTTTACAGATGAAGAAATGGAGGAATGAGTTTTGGCTGCATGCCAAGGTCCGCCTGCTAGTAAGGGCTGGAGCCAGGAGTGATCTGAGAGTCTGACTTGCTCAGCCTCCGAGCTGCTGAAGGAGCGGTCAGGAGATGCTGGACCAGGAGGGGTGCTGGCCCAGGCCCGAGGCGTGTGCCTGTCACCGGTCTCCAGGCCTGAGGCCTGTGACGGCAGGTTTCATTAGCCACACGGCTGTCTGGGAAGGTACCAAGCTCTACTGAGGTTGTCCATGACAGGAGTGACAAGCTGGCTTGCTGGGATTCTGGAGATTTCATGGCGATTCCACCCTGTTGGCTATCCTGTTTGGGGAAGTGAGCTGGTGTTAACATTCTCCCTGACCTTGAAGAGCTCCGGGCTCTCTGTCCATGGACTGGGTGCCACCTCAGGGCACCCCAGGAGCTCACAGGCCAGTGGGTGGGTCAGAGCCAGCATTTGCCTCTGACAGGGCCCCTCATGTTCAGTTCTCAGACAGTCACGGCCCCCAGGTTCTCTGGGACTCCTGATGGGGTGGTGGTCCTGGGAATTTGCTTCTAGGGGCCACAGTCTGTCTTGTGCTCGTGCAGTTCAGTCTGTCGCTGATGTGCTAAGAATCCCCGTGGCTGAGCTGCCAGCCCTTCCTAGCCAGGGCAGGGCTCTCCCCATGTGCAGGCTGGGGCCTGTGGCTCCAGGGGAGAGAGAGTCCCCCCACCTGCCTTCCCTCCCATGGAAACAGGACTCTGGAGCCCCCTTCCCAGGCCTATCAGATTAGCACCCTGCCCCGACCAACGCACCATCTAGGTAGAGCTCAAACATGCAGAAAGTTCTTTTTCCTTCCTCTGGGAGCCATGGAGCCCTTTGGGGACCTCCCCTCTGCAGGTTGTCACTATTGCACGAGTGGAGCATCTCCCAGAGGCCTCATCCCCTGCTTCTGTCTCCTCTGCCTTAGGATCATGCGGCCAGATGATGCCAACTTAGCCGGCAATGTCCATGGAGGAACCATCCTGAAAATGATCGAAGAGGCTGGGGCCATCATCAGCACCCGGCACTGCAACAGCCAGAATGGGGTGAGGGCCTGGGATCACGGGAGACTCCGGAACCCAGAAGGCTGCACTGGTGTTGGGGCAGGAGAGGAGTTCCGTGGGGCCCAGGCCTGGAGCCTTCCCTTCCCTTGCCCACTGGACCTTGGGGCTCTGGTTCAGTTAGCCCTGGATGGGAACTGTATGGACATATGCTGGGTTTTGGCTCAGAGGGGGGTGGGAAACCAGCGGAGACAAAGTTGCAAGCCTGATGACAGAGGCCTCTCCCCGCCCCGTCTCCCCTGCACTCAAGAATTCCCCACCAGCCCTGGCCCTTGCAGGTCACATCTTGAGGCAGCTATTGTGATGGTCAAGAGCCATGGCTTGGGTGTCAGAAAGCCCTGGGCCTGGGTCTCACCTCTGCCCCTGACCAACCCATGGTGGCCATGGGGAAGTGCTGTGGCTCTCTGTGTCTTGGCTGCTTCCCAGCTGTGAAGCCCAACAGGCCCTGTGTATTGTGTCCCTGATGGTGCCAGTCCCCCCCCCCCCCCCCCCGAGCTGTGCAGGGAGAGGTGGTCTTGCAGTGGGATGAGGGGCAGGACCTGGGGGTTTAGAAC